CAAAAGAGTTGGGCCGACCTGAGCTTGGCTTCCTTCCCAAGTCCCTCCAGCGCGAACCTGAAGGTGCCACCGGGAGAGGCTGCCCGAGGCAGTGATAGCGCCCACCCGTCCGCGGACAGGGAGGCGAGGTGATGGCAGCGCTTCTTCCCTGGCTGTCGGAGAGAGCCCGAAGCCCCCCATCCTTTCCACCCCTCGCCCAGCCATCCCCATCCTCACGCATCTCCAAATGCGGCAGCAGCTCCAAACACTGCAGAGGAATGGGCATCAGGCAGAGGCGCTGACTCAGCAGGGCTCAGCTTGGGGGAGGACGTGGCGCAGGCCGTCGCCTTGCCTCCCTGTCCACGGATGGGTGGGCGCTTTCACTGCCTCGGGCGGCCTCTCCTGGTGGCCCCTTCGGGTTCGGGCTGGAGGGACTTGGGAAGGAAGCCAAGCTTGGGTCGGCCCGGCTCTTTCACCTGGCTGGCAGGCAGGCGCACACCCACGGCTCGCTTTCCCAGCTCTGCCCAGCCCGCACAGCTCCACCACGGTCCTGGTGGGATGAGCGGAGGGCCCTGCAGGGAGGCGCTTGCTGCCTTGGCGAGAGCTCTGCTGCCAGGAAGGAGGGCCCGCCTGTCAGCTGTGCTGGGCGCCCCAGGTGAAGCTCTTCCTGCTCTGCCCGGTGCCAGGCAGGGATGGTGGCTGGGTGCTTCTCCCGGGGTGGGCCGATCCTGCGTTGCGGCTCCAGGAGATTCGCCTCCCCACGTGGGGTTGGGCTGCCCTCTCGGGCAGGGGAGGCTTTGTTGTAGTAGGGTGTCATTTTTACAAGAATTGGCTTTACCTTCGAAGGCAAAGGGAAAGCGGCAACAGGAGCACCTGAAGCCGAGTGTCTCCGCCGGGCTCCGGTTGCAGGGAGGAGACCTGGCTGGTCACGCATGGCTGCGCTATACACCATGGCGTTGCTCTAAACGTTGCGGCAGCAAGGGAGAAGGGAAAGCAACGGTGGTGAAAGGTCTCCCAATACGAAGTGCCCCACCAACGCAGGCAGCACCATATCCGGGCATGCAACAAAAGTACTTCCTAACAGCAAGCCCCCCGCCATTCCCCCCCCCCATTTCGCATGTTTAATATGGGCCTTAATTTGGGGGGAGGGGCTTAATTTGATTTTATGCCAATAAAACATGGTGGGGCTTCCTATTGGTGGAGGCCGTATTGTTGGAGAAACACAGTAGCTGGGACAAAGATTGTGCAGGAGCAATGAAGAAATGGACAGTGTGGAGACCAGGCAACTCAAGCACAATATCTAAACATAAGGTACTCCGGATTTAAAACTTTAAAGAGACTTTTTTAAAAAAGGATCAGAAAAGCGGTGACCAGAGTGAAAAAAAAATTAGGACATAAGTGAAAGTGGCTTTGAACTGTACAAATAATTAAATTGAAAAAGGAAACTAAAAGAAGATATCTGTGTTAATTGGATTATATTAAATAATATAATTGGCACTAAATAAGCATACTAAACTTCAATGTGCCAAAAAGAGAAAAAGCATGCAATAATTGGATTTATTGGATTTTTTTAAACTTAAAAACCCTAAAAGGGAAAGGAAAATGAAAAGAAAAGGTTTTGGACATAACAGAGAGTGCCACCTAATGATAAAAGAAAAATTTCTGTGACTCTTTAAAAAGTGTTTGGTTCCTTAACAATTGGAACTTGATACAAAGTAAGAGGAACCTTGAAACAATAAGATATAAACTCTGAAAAGTGAAACTAGCATACCATAAAGGAAGAAGAAAGAAGCCTGAACCCTGGGAATACTAGGTGATTTTGGGAAAAATTTAAAACTTAACAGAAGGAACTTAACAATAAAAATATATGAACATTGGACTATTTTGACCCTGGAAAATTGAAACAGAACTTAACAGAAGTGGATGATTAGAAGCTGGTTTAAACTAACTACTGAACAACTGGACTGAACTTAAATACTGAAGAAAAAGGTAAAAAAACTAAAATTAAAAGAGGTGCACAAAAACAGCAGAATACTGTTTGGAAATAAAATCGGACTTAAGAAGTATAAGGGAAATGATATGGAGGAAAATGGAATTGTGCAATATTGCTATACGAATGCTAGAAATGGTGTCGTTGGAGAACAAAGACGAACAAGGAGAACCATAAGGGGAGGAGTTGATTAAAGAAGAGGCCAGCCTCAATGAACAAACTATAAAACAAACATTGAAGCGGGGGAGGGGGATGGAAATTAAAATCGGGAGGTTTGTGGAGACAATTAAAGAGGTAATTGTTCGGAAAGTCAAACAAAGAAAAAGGAAAGAGCAGAAAAGGGAATTACAGGAGAAAGTTCAAAAGAGGGAAGGGGATAAAAACTGGAGCCAGAAATGGAGGGGAAAAATAAAGGAAGAGGAATAAGGGAAAGGACCAGAAAAAAAGGGGATATAGAAAATCAAAAAAGAAAAAAGAAAAGAAAAAAAGCTGTATGGCTAGAAGACCTAGAGATAATGGGTAGTCAGAGAATACGAAAGGGGATTCTACAAGGTAATGCATAAAGTGGTATAAAAATATAGATTGTAAAAAATGGAATGTTTGGAACTGATTTTTTTTTCTTTTCTATTTGGTTATTTTCTAAGAATTATTGTTAAATTAACTGGAATACATGTAGAATTATTATAAGAATGTTAATTACATTAAATGAAATTAAAATATAGTTAAAATGAACTATGAGAATTGTGTTAAAAAGACAAATATCAGTTTCTACAATTAGCTGAAAAGATCAATGTATTAGATAAAATAAATGTCTTAGAATAAAGAAAAGAATACCATGTGGAATCTAACGTAAAATGTATATGGGATATGTAGTACCTAGGTGATAACTAAAAATGATCATAGTATGGTAATTTTTTAATATGAGTTAAAGGGGAGTAAATTAAATGATGCATAAGATAAAAGTGTGGTGCACTCAAAGGTAATTAAGGGGGAAATGTTTGGAATTATTAAAATCAAGATGAAATTTACTGAATAATGAAATAAGAATATGTGATGGCATTGCAAATATGATATAAAAGTATAATGAAAATAGATTAAGAAATAAGAATTTTGAGATGTTATATAAAGAAGATAAGAGTATAATTAGAAAAACAGAACAAGTTAAGATATGAATTAAAAATGGATAAAATAAATGTGAAAAACATAATACTTGTGAAAATTTATAGAAAATGGAAATGTAATGATATTATAAGAAAATGAATATGTAAGATAGATATGTAATTATGGTAATGTTTGTATGGAAATGTAAAAACCTGGAACCACACTTTTCACCAAAAGAGATGTTTGTAAAAGATAAAAATAAAAAAAAACTTTTTGGAAAAAAAAATTAAAAATAAAATCTGGCATTATTTCTCTTCTACAATATATAATATATGAGACAAAAATTGAGGAACGTTTCAGGAATGCTATAAGGAAAACTAACACAGATGTGTGGGATAATAAACTGAATTCCACATGGAACAAATTTAGAAGGAAGAACAAGCTGAATGTATTCATTAATTACAATTTATCCAATCTAATGCTGTCAAACTAAGTTGTACAGGACAATTGTTTTTAAATCAGACTGTCTCATCTTCATTAAGTTTAAAATAGATTTCTTGTGAATCTTGATATTATCTCTGAATTCCAACTTTGAAGAAAAGAGTACCAACAAAAAGAAAGGAAGCTAATGTGCCACAGTATTCAAAGCTGATTTCATATGTTTTATTACTACTGTTCTTTATCACTAGTAATATATCTCAGTCTTATTTATTTTGAGTCAACCCACTGTATTCCCCAGGGTTTACTTTAAAAAATGTATTGGGAATTTCAGCATATAACAAAATATTCTTGAAACTAATACACAAAAGCTACAACTGCCACTCAGACTGGTTGTCTGGCTCATGATTTAATTGGGGCAATCGCCTGAACCCTGGCACTGGTACAAATGCGTATATACCCCTAATTAACTTTTTTATATCCTGGAAATTTTTATACTCTGGAAATGTAGAACAAATCCTCAAAAACTGACTAAAATGGTGACTATAGCTCTGAGATCAGATGGCATATAACATCTGGAAGAATAAAGACATCAGCCTCACAACCAAATGCAGATTAGTTAATGCTACTAACAGCTGTGATACTTTGATTCTGAAAAAGGCAGATAGGAGAAGGGTGGATGCCTCTGAACTGTAATGCTGGAAGTAACTATTACTTCCAGCACCACATGGACTGCAAAAATATCAAATAAGTCCTAGAATGAACCTCACCAAAAATATCACTTGAAGCCAAGATTGCCAAACAAAGACTTTGGTCATGTCATGATAACTGACTCATTCAAAAAAAATCAATCATCCTGGGAGTGATCAGTGGAAAAAGGAAAGGAGGCCATCTAGCACCCACTGGCTAGATGCTATAAAAGATAACACTGGGTGACCATGGTGGATCTGAAGGAGGTGGTGTGAGACAGAGGGGCATGGAGAGTGTTGATCCATAGTATGGCTGAGCATCAGGCATGACAACGGCGATCCTGGAATACCCCATTCCAATTGGTAAGAAACTTTTCTGTTTTATTGAATTACTTATTCATTATATTTTATAGTAAATTTATATTCACTCTTCCCACCTACTTTTTTCAATCTTAAATTAAATTATCTAGCATAATCATATACAGATTTTCAGAAAGAATGACATTTCATTTCAATTTAGTTTCATGTTGAAACCAAATTGCTATTTAATTACACAAAGATATTTTACTGTTATTTGAATAAATAAAGTTATTGTCAAGCAGTGATTTTTCAATTTTCTGGAAAAGATGTACCCATATATTCAGATAAATTTCCTTTAATTCCTTGAATTATTCTGCATGTTGTATGACTGCAAATCCTTTCAGCAATAGCAAATATAGTCTTGCCATGCATAAATAAATAAATCTAAAGAGAAAAGGAAATAAATTCCAGCATGCTAATTAAAAACAACAACAACTATTTACCTGGAAAATCCAACTCCTCTACTGACACCAGTTGCATCTCTTAATATTCTGGTGGAAATGACATGTCCGAAAGGTTTAAGCATATTCTCCAACTCTTGCTCATCCATGGAAATGGGCAAGTTTGAGATATAAAGATTTGTGGGGTCTTGTTCTTGTTGCTAAAATAAAAGAAACAGTCCTCTTAGACCTTTAGAATAGAATAGAATAGAATAGAATAGAATAGAATAGAATAGAATAGAATAGAATTCTTTATTGGCCAAATGTGATTGGACACTCAAGGAATTTGTCTTGGTGCAAATGTTCTCAATGTACACAAAAGAAAAGATACATTTGTCAAGAGTCAAGAATCATAAGGTACAACACTTAATAATAGTCATAGGGTACAATAAGCAATCAAATCACACTAGGAAAATATAAATCGTAAGAATACAAGCAACAAAGTTACAGTCATACAGTCACAAATGGGAGGGGATGGGTGATAAGGAGTGATGAGAAGGTTAATAGTAGTGCGGACTTTGTAAATAGTTGGACAGTGTTGAGGGAATTATTTGTTTAGCAGAGTGATGGCATTCAGGAAAAAATTGTTGTTGTATCTAGTTATTCAGGTGTGCAGTGCTCTATAGTGTCATTTTGAGGGTAGGAGTTGAAACAATTTATGTCCAGGATGTGAGGGGTCTGTAAATATTGTCACAGCCCTCTTTTTGACTTGTGCAATATACAGGTCCTCAATGAAAGGCAGGTTGATAGCAATTGTTTTTTCTGCAGTCCTAATTATTCTCTAAACTCTGTGTCTGTCTTGTTGAGTTGAAGAACCAAACCAGACAGTTATAGAAGTGCAGATGACAGACTCAATAATTCCTCTGTATAATTGTATCAGTAGCTCCTTGAGCAGTTTGAGCTTTCTGAGTTGGCACAGAAAGAACATTCTTTGTTGTGCTTTTTTGATGATGTTTTTGATGCTAGGTGTCCATTTTAGGGCTTGAGATATGATAGAACCTAGAAATTTGAAGATATCTACTGTTGATACTGTATTGTCTAGTATGGAGGGTTTCTCCTAAAGTCTACCACCATTTCTACAGTTTTGAGTGTGTTCTGTTCTAGTTTGTTCTGGTCACAACATGGAGCAAGTTGTACAACCTCTCGTCTGTATGTGGATTCATCATTGTCTCAAATGAGACCAATCACTGTTGTATCATTTGCAAACTTCACTTTTTTAACAGATGGATCATTTGAGATGAGTCATTGGTATATAGGGATTATAGAAGTGCAGATGACAGACTCAATAATTCCTCTGTAGAACTTTATCAGCAGTTTGAGCTTTCTGAGTTAGTGCAGAAAGAACATTCTTTGTTGTGTTTTTGATGACATTTTTGATGTTAATTGTCCATATGATAGAACCAGGGGTGGTATTCAGCTGGTTTGCACTGGTTCAGGCGAACTGGTAGCGATGATTTGGTGTGGGTTGCTGAACTGGTAGTGACTTCTGGTTGCCCGGTCACTGCTCACTCGCTTGCCCTGACTGCCCGATGCTCACTCACCCTGCCTGCTACTCACTTCCTTTTGTCCCCTGGGAGAAGCGAGTGGTGGCGGAGGTGTTCCTATTGGGAGGGCAGGGATTCCTGGGGCTGCCTCCTACAGCAGCAGCACCGCCGCCACCCGCTTCCTTTCATCCCCCAGGAGAAGTGAGCGGTGGTGGAGGTGCTCTGACTGGGAGGGCAGGGACTCTCGAGGCTGCCTCCCGCAGCAGCACTGCCATTGTTGCTGCTACTGCCGCGGCCACTCACTTTCATCCCTCAGAAGAAACAAGCAGTGACAGAGGTACTCCAACTGGGTGAGCGGTGGATGTCCCATGGCTGATTGCTTTTTTCATTCTTCCGGTGTCAAAAGTGTTAAAATATAAACATCATCATAATCATTGTATTCACAAACGAATAGTACATAATATCAATCATTATTATAAAATATACTATCTTCCATGTTGACATCAATTATATAACCATCAAAATATTTACTAATCAGTTTATCTTTCTCATATAGTCCATATTTTCACATAAATCCACCCATCTAACCTCTATATCTATCAACTAGCCATTAAAAAAAAATCCCATGCCATAAAATATTCAGTGTCTTCTTTTTCTTTGATTTTTAGTGTTAACCTATCCATTTCTGCACATTCCACTATTTTTTTTTATTATATTCTCATCTGTGGGGGTTTCTTCATTTTTTCAATATTGTGCGTATACAATCCTGGCTACTGTTAAAATGTCTAGAATGTCTAGAATCCCTTTCCATTTAGTTCTTGTTTAGTTTTTAGTTCTCTACTTTCATTTAATATGTCTTTGTATCTTATGATTTTTTTCCATATTCATAACATTTAGATTTATCAATGCATCGATTGTAGATAACCAGACTGGTATTTTCAATTAATGTTGCTGTTTGATTTTGGTCCATACTAGCAGTAATGCATTCCTAATGTAATGCCTCTGGAAATAGCTATGTATCTCACCTTTCTGTCATGCCCCTGTCAGAGTCGGAATCCGAAGAGGAAGCTGAACAGCTGACAGGGAGTGGGTGTGTGGCTCCGTTGGCTGTGGAGGAAACTGAAGAAGGGCAAAGTCCGGCTGGGCAGAGCAGGGGAGAGGTAGAACAAGGGAGAGGGGATTAGACCCAGGCCCACCCCCTCTTCATCATAGGATACACAGGGAGGAACATAGAAGAAAGCAACATGGGTTGCTTGGCTTACAGGAGAGGAAAGGGCCCTGATTCCCTTCATTAGCAACAGCTGGGAATACAGTTTATAAGAAAGGCAGATTACATGAGACAGGCTTCTGGGAGCAAATGTGACTTTATCTTGTGTTGTCGTTGCTTATCCGTGTTCCTGGCATCTTCCCAACCATGTGAGTTTTGCTGTACCCTCAAGTTTGAAATTCTTGCTCCTGACCTGCCAAACTAATTACTTCAGTTTGGCTTGATTGGACTTAAAGTTACTGTTTCTGTTGACCATATTTTGGACTTAATTTTCTGCAGTCAAAGGCTGTTCCTAGAAGAGTTTTTCTCTAGCCAGAAGGTAACCTGGATTTTGGGGGCAAAGTTGGACGTAATAAAGGGACTCTTATTAATTATCTGACTGTGTTGCCTTTGTGCCATGCCCCGGGTTATCACACATTCCATCCCAATTGCAGATAATAGCCCTCCAATGTTAGTAATATGGTATTCCTCAAATTAATCCACTCTTTCACCCATGCAAGTACTGATGCTTGGTAGTATAGCTCCCAGTCCTCGAGACCAAAACCTCCTCTAGTTTTAATGTCTTGTAACATTTTTAATTTTATTCTTGCTTTTTTACCTTGCCATATAAATTTTAATATCGTCTTATTTAATTCTTCAAAATATTCCCCCCCCCCCCGGCTTTATTGGGACTGTCTGAAACAGGTACAATAATCTTGGCGGGATATTCATCTTAATTGAAGCTATTCTACCCAATAGGGACAGTTGTAAATTTTTTCAGTTTTCCAAGTCCATTTTAATTTGTGCTTTCAGTTTGTCATAGTTATCTTCTTTGAGAGATACACATCTTGCTGTTAATTGAACTCCTAAATATTTAACTTTCTTTACAATCTGCATGTTCATCATTCTTGTAAATTCTCTTTTGTTTATCTGTAAAAATTTTAACCAATATTTTCGTTTTCTCTTTATTTTCAATCCTACAACTGCACCATATTCTTCTATCTTTGCAATTAATTTAGGTCCTGTGAATCTTCTAAAATGAACACCAAATCATAAAACAACAGAGTTGGAAGGGACCTTGGAGGTCAGGTAGTCCAACTCCGTGCTCGAGCAAGAGAGTCTATTCCAAATAATAGCCTCTACCTAGGATTGAACTCACAGCTTCCTGATTGTGAAGTGAGAGCTGCTCCACCTCTAGGCCACCAGAGCTGAGCTAAGTAAAGGCCTGTAACTTAAGCTTCTCCTTTATTCTCATGCCTTTTATTTCACTGTCTTGTCTAATATTTCTAGCTAACACCTCTAAAGTTAATATAAACAACAAAGGGGGTAAAGGACAACCTTGCCTTGTGCCTTTCGTTATATTGAAGTTCTCAGTCATGTCACTTTTATAATCACCTTTGCTGTTTGTTTATGGTATAAGGTCTTAATAATATTAATAAACCTCTCCAAAATCCATATATTTTAATTGTAAAAACATAAACTGCCAACTCAAATTGTCAAAAGCTTTCTGTGCATCAAGAAAAATCCATTCTGGAAAGCAAATGGCTTTCCAGAATTTGTCTCATAATATTCCAATGTATTCTAAACCATCCGCATATTATTTTTATCTCTTAGATAAAAATCCATTCTGATCTACATGTATAATGTCATTCAAAAATCTTTTCAGTCTTTCTGTGATTATTGAGGCATACATTTTATAGTTTAATTTAACAATGATATTGGTCTATAGTTTTTTATTTGTAGTAAATCAAAGTCTTCTTTAGGTATCAATGTTATAATTGCTTTATCCATGTTTCAGGAATCTTAGCTTCAAACAATGCTTCATTGTAGACTTCAAGCATAAATGGACCTAAGGTATCTTGTAATAATAAGTATTTATAAAATTCTGCTGGCAGGCCATCTGGTACTGGTGTCTTGTTTTGTTTTTGTTTTTGCCTCCTAATTGCTTCTGTTAATTCCATCATTGTTATTCTTTCATTCAATATTATCTTCACTTCTTCTGACACTTTGGTAGGTTGACTTCTTCCATATATTGTTTAATTTTATCTTCTAGTATATTTTCTTTACTGTATAGTCTTTCATAAAATTCTTTTATTTATTTTTTCTTATCTTCATTTTTGTGTCGAATTGCACACATCTTGCAGCTTTTATATCAATTTCTTTTCTTTTTCTTTTTTGAGTCTGAATGCCAACCATCTCCCCAGTTTGTTTGCATTTTCAAAAAAGTTCTGTTTGGCTACTGTAGTTTTTTGTGCCAATTCTTCTTTCTCTAGAATATTTAATTCATGTTTTACTAATTCCATTTGGTTTTTACCATTTAGTTTTGAAGGTCTCTCTGTAATTCCAATTCAAGTCTTGTATATTCTTCTTCTAATCCATCTCGTCTTTTCTTTTTTTCTTTATTTTTCCTTCCTCTATAGAAGATTACTAA